AAAAGTATCCTGGTTGGACAAAATTTTTTGGTCAGCCTAATGCTTCTCTCATACCTCTGTACATTTGCACTTTCTATTCTCCTTACCTCAGCTACTTTCTCCAAATGTCCTCCTAGAAAAATCCTTCACAAGTCTTCTCAAGTTCTACTTCCTTTTAAGGATTTCCTTGAACTAAAAAATTCTGTCCTTGATTATACACTGCATAAAAATTTCATTACAGCAATGATCTCACTGCATTATGGTTGCTTAGATGCTTGTCTTTCACTGGGGCATGAGTTCCTGGAGAGCAAGGATCCTTGTCTCTCCATGTTTGATTATCTTGTGCTCAATACACAATAACCCACACAATTCTTACTGAATGAATTAATCTGCCATGTATCCTATTATACAGACATCTGTACTCTTGAAAGTCTTGTCATTTTGAAGGATACTGACAATTCGATTCCAATATAATTTATTCCAACCACAAAAGAATTTCACAAATATCTCCCTTCCATATTCAAACTAAATAGTGATAGTTTCAGTGCATAAATCACTATGTGATTTTTAATATCTCTACTATTAGATATGCCCAATCAAATAACCTATCATGTTTATATCTATTTCATCAGCTAAGATAAATTTACACATTATACTCAGATGAATATGACAAGCAGATAGCTATTAGGCATTTTATATTTGCTAATAAAATAAATGAATGTCTTTTCAATTCTTTTAAACTGAACTCACATTTTCATCTTTTGCAGTTTGTACATATGGTTGGAACAGTTAAGGGGAGTTAGACTAAAATGACTGAAGGCAGCCAGCTACAGGGGAGCATCTCTGTAATCCCAACTACCAGGAAGCAGAGGTAGAAGAATCATGCAAAATCATGAGGCTCTAACTACAAAAAACTAAAAGCAAAATGACTGAGGCATGGCTCATGTGGTAGAGTGTTTGTCTAGCAAGTAAAAGGCCACCAAAAAATAAGAATTAAAAAATGAAATGACTGAAGGTACCTAAAAATATTCCTTTTGAATTTTAAACTACTATCTTTATATCTGTTGGATAAGAATCACAGGAAATGTTGAGTAAATAAAGATTCACAAGAATTGATGGGATCCTTGAATCTGCATTTTTAAAATAATCCACCCAACTGATTTTCATGTAAGTCGTTTTGAAACTGAACTGTTAAGAACTCTGGAGGGTAATGGGACTTCTTAAAAGCAAAAATATGGTATCAGGTCCACTATAAAGAATTGCTATTTACTACCAAATTCCCAGTTATCTCTACTATAGAAGTAAATAGAAGAATAAAGAGTACTTGTAAAATCTTAAACTAATGAGTCTGAGGTCTTATTCCATTCATATATATATCGATATATAGGTACCTATATATCGATATATATATATACACATATCTAGTATGTATATATATATATGTGTACATAAATTCTATATTGCATATATAATATATATTATATATTACACCCTAGGTATAAATATATATGTAATCATGCCCCATATCTCTGGAGTATTTGTGCTAGAGAATATAAAAACCTTCAGATGTTCAAGTCCCTGAAATAAAACAGTATAATGTTTGTACATTATCTAAGCACATCATCTGATTAAGTCATCTCTAGATTACTTATAATACCTAATATAACGCAAATGCTATGAAAATAGCTGTTACACTGTATTATTAGGGAATAGTGGCAGGAAAAATGTCTATGTATGTTCAGTATAGACACAAGGTTTTTCCAAATATTTTTGAAACACAATTAGTCAAATTGACAGATGCAGATCTTATATATGTAGAAAGCTAATGGTATACTTATGACATATTATATGTAATGTGTTATGTACTATAAATACATGTTACATGATATTGTTTGGAGCGAGCTTTTTCTCACTCCTGTTACTACTAAACCTCACTGGCCTAACTGGGGGCTACAGGAGATGCAGAAAGGATAAACGATAGACAAACATACATAAAGCTGGGGCCAGGTATGCTGGGTACTTGGATGGAGACACACAGCAGCCTCATTGCTTGTTATTTCTCTTCTCTTTACTCTGCTTCTTTTCTCTTATCTTTATTCTTTAAGACTTTACTGCTTTATAATTCTAAAGTCTTCTTTTCTATTCTTTAAAGTCTCTTTCCATAGACTCATACTGTCCCATGGTTTTTTTGCTCTCTCTTAAAGTCTTTGCCCTCAGACTTGCACTGTCCCATGTTCTCTCTTTAGCTTTCTTGAAGTCTCAGTGCTCAAACATACAAAAAACAGCAGCCACGTCTAAAAACTGCATTAGCATAACTCTCAAAGTCTTGGTCCTTAGACTTGCACTGTCCTGTGTTCTCCTTAGCCTTTCTTTAGCTTAGCTTTTCTAAAGCCCATGTATAAAGTTCTTGGTGCAGAAAGCTGCTCTGGTGGAGAAACACAGCCCGCATCAGCGGTAGTGGCAGCCAATCAAAAAGCCCCCATCAAAAACTCTGTGTCCTCCTTCAGCTAGTCTTTTATATCCAGTGGTAAACAAGGAGGTGGAGCAACAGTTCTCCAGAGAGGCATGACATTGTAACAAGAGAAACCTGTGTTTCTACTGTTCTGAAAGTAAACAACTTAGGAAAAGCAGCTGTGCTGCATTCTGCCTCACTCTCAGCTGTGCCAAACTCAGCCTGTGATTGAGCACAACTGTGCTTATAATCTACTCCCCACAATTGTGTAAAAATAATTAGAATTACTTGAGAATTCTGTAGGAGAGCTTGGAAGTAAAACCAAGATTCTTTAAAGAATATAAAGAAATGCAACCTTTCTTGCACAGTTGAATAAGTAAACTATGATTCCTTCTCACATCACATAACACTTTGATACTGTGTGAAGTAATAATTCTAGCCTATCATACAATATGAATGGCTAAAAATGGCAGTTATTCAAAAGCAAACAACACAGAAGAAAAAGATCTAGGCAAATGAAGAACACCTGATGTAGGAAGAAACAAGATCATTCCAGTAACGGAAGAGAACTTTAAAACAATTCTCGTAGGAGTTCTAAGAATGATTCATGAATGTATCCATTTATAAACAGGAACAAATGAATATGCCAAAAAGGAAATAAATAAATAAAATTATTAAAATTAAGAAAAAAATCAGTAGTTTAATTGGAAAAAATGAAGAAGTCTCTCAAAATGTAAAACAATAAAACCAACATGTGAAATATATAGAAGTTAAATAGAGAGTATAAATCAAGTCCAAAATTCATCTGAAAAGTATCATTAATGAAAAAGATCAAAGGCAAGAGAGGGAAATAAATAATCATATCATAAAAGAAGGTCTCTAGAGCTCAAGACATGAAGAGGCATATTAGTAAGTTTCAATAAATGTGGTGCAGGACAAATGGAAAATAACCTTATAGACTCTTCTCAATGTGTTCTGCTTCTTATTCTTGTCTCAACATTCTGCTTTTCCTTGACTTCCAAAATGTATGGCCCCAATGGTTCAGTATGTTTTGCTTCTTTTCTTTATCTCTTCTATATTTCACTCATTTGCTAAATTGACCTCATCTAGACTCATCACTTTGAACATGATCTATATATCAAATACTCCCAGTTTTATATCTCCCCAAAATTCCTTGCATCAAATTTATTTCCCTTCTGTCATCTAACAGACATTTCAAATACATGACTAAAACAGAATTTATATGCCAATGCTTACTCCACATTGCTTCTCTGGAAGTCTTCCTCATCTCAGTAAAGAGCAGCAGCATCAATTCTGTTACTTAGGCCATAAAACCACAAGTCCCCTCTTCCTTACACTATGTATCTAATCAATCAGCAAGGCTAACATCAAACATGAATTTGGGAAAAAAAAAGTGTGTTCAAGAAGAATACCAATTCCCTAATATTATGATGACACCCTCTGTATTATATTAATTATACATCTCACTCAGAGCAATACATTTTTAGGAATATAAGGATGCATCTCCTGGCCTATGGTTATAACTCTTACATCTTCTATAGCAAATAATATATTAAATGTTGTCAATTACTTTTAAGTTTCAGATAAAGCATGAAAGACATATTTACAAAATAAAATGTAAATTATGTAAATTCCATAAATATTGGAAATGTAAAAGTAATAAAAACATGAATTAGTAGGTGGAAGTATATGTAAAAAAAATAGGGAAGCAAAATATAGAGACAAAAAGTAGAAAATCACAAAACATGGTCAAAAGTTGATGGATCACAGACTAGACTTTTTATGAAGGTAAGTATCAGTAGAATTTTTTATTATACCTGATAGAGATCAGAGTGAGTAGAAAGGACAAGAATAAGAAAGGTAAACTTCTTACATGTAATAGAGAGAAATCAATAGCTATTTTTAAATAAATGCATTAATAAATTAAATATATCATCTTATTTAAGACTCCAAACTAACCATAGCAGTCAAAAATAATCACTTTTGATGAGGAGGAGCGAAAGAAAGTGTAAGGAGCCTTATTTTTCATTTATCATCCTCTTTGGTATATGAGTTTTTATTATGGCATATATTGCTATTCAATAATTAAATGAAAAACACATAAAACTTAATAAACAATAAAGTAAAAAATCACATCCAGTCTTGTGTCTTGTTTTTAACACAGTTATTTGAATAAGTTTTGATAAAAAGACACCATTTTTTCACTGTTGGTCAGTAGCATGAAGGACAGAAATTCTAATCTAGGATGTTTCGTGCAGTTTTATTTTAATTCATTTTATCAGCACACACTGGTTAACTACTATCCTGTCAAAATATGTGGATACTAGCATATGTATGTAATGAAGGAATTCTATAGAAAAGAATCTTTCACATCTAGAACCAGAGAAGCTCTCACACTGATTCACTGTAATTTACCTCCTCAAAGTACTGCAGGTCAATAGATCCTCCAAAGGGAGACACTACAATTTTGAGCACAGTAAGTATTTCCATTGTCCTAATGTGACCTCTAGTCCTACTTTAAAGCATATAAACATGGCACTATTTTTACCTTGAATAATGCATGGCTTGGTGGCCTGCAATATTAAAATAGAAGTCTGTTGTGTGCTTCATCTCATTGGTGTGCCCACTGGCCTCAATCCAGTGTCCTATTGGGAGACAGTAAACACCATCCACCAAGTTGTTTTCATTATAAGTACAGCAACGGTCATGGTGAGGCCCATTGCCTAAAACAAGAAATGACAAACAGAGCAATTAGATCAGTGTTTTGCTTAAACAACCTCAAAGTGGTTGATAACAAAACTAATAATATGATGAAAATAAACAGAGACATGCTTAATCTACATATTTCAGTATGAACAAAAATAGACTGGAAAGAACAGGAAGGATTTGTAAAGAGTTACTTATGAAAATCACAGGGTTCTGTGCTAACTTTGAGTACAAGAGTTCTTTGAAAAGCATATTAACTCTATCGGAACTTCATGGTACTTTCCAGTGCCCTAAGTCCCCACTGTGAATCATTCTGCAGCCCTATAACCTGCTGAAAGGGGTTTTTAAAGCCATTGATGCCCTTTCATTATGTAATTTTGTCTTTCCAATGGCAAATTTATGAGTAAAGTCAGTAATAAAGTAAATTAGTAACAGCCAAAAGAATAATTACATAAATATAAATACATTAATAATAAAACAAATGACCATGTCCAATCTAATTAGAAGGTAAAACATGGGTTAGTTCTTATAGATGAGGAAACTAGGTTTTACAGAGGTTTAACTAGTTTACCCAAGGCCACAGAACAACTAAGTGAAGAGGGAGTAGTAACCTAATTCCACCAGCCCCCTACCTTTCAGGCTACTCTCCACCTCACATTCATAAAGACATGCCATCTTCCTTCCAGTACCATGGAGCAATGGAGACAGAAACAGAAGAACATGTCTTTGAAAACACTATTTTCCTAGTTCAAATTGTGCCCAATATCAACCACACTAGTTGCAATGGTGTGAATATTTATGTCCTCCCAAAATTCATATGTTGAAATCCAAAACCCTAAGGTGATGGTATTAGGAAGTGAGGCCTCTAGAAAATGTTGAGATCATGGGGGCACAGTTCTCACAAATGGGATTAGCACCCGTATAAAAGAGGCCCAAGAGAGACTCCTCAGTCCCTTTTCCCATGTACAGCAAGTATAAACCAGAGAGTGAGCCCTACCAGACCCTCAATCTGCTGGTGCCTTGATCTTGGACTATCCGAACTTCAGAACTATGACAAATAAATGTTGCTTTTAAGCCACTCAATCTATAATATGTTGTTATAGCAGGGAAAATGGTCTAAGATTCTAAGGAGCTCTGATTTCTATGAAAATTATAATATATACACTATTTTTCTTATGTGACCATCCCTTTTCAAATCATTCCTTTTCTTAAACTTCCTGTCCTAAATTATGAGAAAAACATATAAGCAAAATAATTATGAGTGGTTTACAGGAAGAAATCACATTTGTTACAAATACAAAAATTCAACTCATTTGCTACTTGCTCTGTTTCACAAAATAATTAACCTAAAGTTGCTTGGCATAAAATCTAAGAAAAAACCTTAAATTATTAGGTGATTTGTCTGCAACATAATGCCATCCATCAGCCAGGAAGCAGGATAACTGTCTTACTGAATCTTCCTAGATTTGACTCCATTTTTATTCCTCATGACTACAAGGCACCACACCACCTTTCCATTAACCTTGATAGTTAATAGGTGATTTCACAGGTACTTTTTAATAGATAATTGCCAAACTACACTAGCAACTGCACCCTACATTTATATCCAACAGAACAATTAGTAAAAATAAAGATATATATACAGAGATGCATGCATATACCAATACTATTTTAATAGACAGTATTGTAAACCATGTAAGTTTATTCATTCTTTCACAAATATTTATTGAGACAAAAACTTTGCTAGGTCATAGGAAGGATTTAAGTATTTATCACATGAGCAATTTAAAAATTTTCAAATATTATAAACAGTCATGACCAAACTTTTACTTTAGAAAGACTTCTCTGGTTTCAGAGTTAAATGAAACAATTCAAGAACAATGGGATAGAGGTAGAGAGTTCATTTACTGAACTGCTACATTAGGTAGGGGATGATAAAAATGTGTTGGCAGAAATGGAAAAGGTTAGGCAGATTCAGAAGGGAAAGGCCATAAGGCATGGTAAATAACCAATTATGGGGAGTAGAGAAAAAAGGGGATTAATAACAATTCCTAAGAATCATATTCTACATTGAATATGATTCAGTGTAGATAGAGTGGCACCATTACTAACACAAAATCTGGAATTGTTCAATCACTAATACCATGATTACAAAGAATAAAAAGCAGGTAAAGGCATCAGTAAGATATGGAAATAGGAATCTCTCAGTTCTACTCTTCCTCACGGAAATATAGCTAGCAACCATCCAAAGATAAAAGTAATTTTTGTAAATATCCCAGAACTCAGGAGTACAGCTGAGATACCACCCCGTTCCCTCCTTGAACCATAGAACTGTTAAAAGCTGTTTTGATTAAAGGTGTGGCTCAAGCAGTACAGTGCCTGCGTAGCAAGCAAGAGGCCCTGAGTTCAAGCCTTAGTATTGCCAAGAAGAAAAGAAAAGATGCTTTAGGAAAAATGAAAAAGGAACAGTTTAATTTTGACCAGATCACCTCTCTCCCAAGCCAACACAGAGCCACAGAGAAAGGATTTCTCTAGGTCCACATCTCTTTAGTGGGAAAAGAAAACCAGGGGCCTACCTTCAGCACTCTCAGTTTCTAAGGTGTCTTAAGGGAGTCCACTTCTGTCTCACACTATGAGAGACATTGTGAGCATTGTCAGAGCTAGGTCATTTGGGGTTATTTTGAACAAAGAAGGGGGGTACTTATACAGACTAGGGTGTAACTCTGGTCAAACTCCTGCATTCCAGACAGTGGAGGTGCTCTCCTAGAGAGACTAACCAACAGCATCACTGTGCAGGAAGCACAGTTAACACATCTCCCAGGCTTGAGTCCCTGGCAGCTTCTACACCCAGACTCAGTGCTCTACTTAAGGCTTCCCTAGGCTGGGAAGCAAGCACAAGACCAGGAACATTGTACAGGGATGATCTGGCTTTGACTGACCTCAGCAACTGAGCAGTGGTCCAACACAGCCTCAAAATGCTGCATAAGTCTTCCCCACACCAGGCAGCAAGCCCATATCCATGCATAACTCTGGAGCAAACTCTATAGCACTGTCTATATCCAGTGGCCCCAGAGACCTCAACTAGACTTGAAGCTTAGGCTTCAGACCTGCGAGTACCATACAGCCAGAGATCCCAAGACTCTCACTAATCAGAGGCAAATGTACAGCCCAGCCAGCAGTTCCACCTCACTAGACCATGGAACACAACCAGCAGCTCCACTGGGCCTCAGAATATACAGAGCAGTCTATCCCACTATAGATCCTGACAAGTGGTTTGCCTGCCCATGATCACTCCCAGCTTATCCCATCTAGGATCCCAAAACTAAATAGTGAAGATTTACCATGACCAATAGTACATGTAAAATGACCAAAACAGGATGGTGGTTCATGCCTGTAATCCTAGATACTCAGGAGGCAGAGATCAGGAGGATTGAGGTTCAACATCAGTGCAGGCAAATAATTTGCAAGACCCTATCTTAAAAAAACCTATCACAAAAAAGGGCTGGTGGAGTGGCTCAATGTGTAGGTCCTGAGTTCAAGATCTAGTACTGCAAAAAAAAAAAAAAGGAGCAATACAGATTGCCTCAAATGCATAGACATAAACACAAGGATATAAGAATTACAAAGACTCATGAATTATTATGTAATCAAAAGAAACTAATAAAGCTTCAATCATATATACCCTAAAGAAAGGCAGACTTATGAAATGACTGGCAAAGAATTCAGAATAATTCTCTTTAAAAACTTCAGAGAAATACTAGAAAATTTATATAAAATTTGGGAAATAATTCATGAACAAAATTAGAAGTTCCATAAAGAAACAGACATTTTTAAATATATAAATTTTAGAGAAAAGAATAACTAAACTGAAAAACTCAATAAAAGCTTCAACAGCTTATATAATCAAGCAAAAGAAAGAAAAAGTGAGCTTAAAGATAGGACACTTTGAAATTACTAAGTCAGAGGAGCAAAAAGGAAAAAATAGAATGAAACACCTACCAAGAATTTTGAGACACCATCAAGAGAACTCACATAACAGGAATTTCTAAGAAGATGAGAGAGAAGAAAAGAGCCCCAAACACATTAAGGAAATGACGGCTGAAAATTTCCCAAACTTTGGGTCAAATGCTTCCACCCAGGTACAGAAAGCTCACAGATCTGCAATTAAATTCAACCCAAAGAAGAATCCACCAAAGCACTTTATAATGGAACTATCAAAACTCAGCCACAAAGAAAGAATTCTGAAAGCAGCAAGAGATAAGGAATATATTAGCAGAAACCCTGCCAGCCATAAGAGAGTAGGATGATATACTCAAAGTACTGAAAGAAAAAAAAAAACACTACTAAACAAAACTACTTTACTCAGTAAAACTATCTTTCAAAAGCGAAGGGGAAATTTTTAAATTCCCAGATAAAAGTTAAAGGAGTTCAGCAACACTAGACCTGCCTTATGGGAATTACTAAAAAAGAGTTCTTTAAGCTGAAACAAAATATTTCTAATTAATAACATAAAGCATATGAGAGTTCAATACTCTGCAGTTTAAGTAATACACAGTCAAATTCAGGATCGTTTAATACTACAAGGGTAATATGTTAAACAATTTTATCTCTAACATAAGGGTTAAAACAGAAAAACTATTATGAACAACTATACCTTCAATAAATTGCTAAGGTAAAAAGTTAGAAAACTATGTAAATTTTAACATCAAAATTACAAAATATGGGGGAGGAATACAAGTGTAGAGTTTTCATGTATGAATAAGTTAAGCTGTTTTGAGCTTAGAAGAGTTTATTTTGTCTTATGTAAGCCTCATGAAAATACAGGAGTTGCAAAAAAAGAAAGGACTCCAAGCATAGCACCACAGTAAATTACTGGAAGACAGCAAAGGAAGAAAAATAAAACTTATAAAACAACCACAAAAAATATAAAATTTCAATAGCAAGTTCTTAACTACCAATGATTATCTAGAACAAAAATAGATTAAATTCTCCAATACAAAGACATGGAGTGAGGGTG